TATGGGAAGTGCCAAGCCCCCCAGATGAAAGTCCGCCCTTTTTTCTCCAAAATGTTCAGATGAATATTAAAGTTGTTCGTGCAAAATTTGAAGAATTTAGTTATATTAGTTTCCCAGATAAACGAATTTTTGTATTTAATTCATATGGGAGGTTCCGCTCCCCTCATTGGTAGTCCCCCAGTTTATTACCCAAAATGTTTACATGGATGTTAAAGTTCTTCCAGAACAACATCATTTAAAGGGATCACAAAGAGATTGAAAAATATTCCAAAAGTTTCACTTTGAAAACATTATTAGAATGTATGAAAACTCGCAACTCTAAAGGAAGACTATTCCTATTTTAGTGGACGTAAGCGAGATAAATTTTCGTTCAATTAGGATACTGCGTGTTTAATTTTATGTTTATATATTCAATATTTTAGAAAATTCAAAAAGTACCAGTTAAAGAACGAAAAATTACCAGAAATACTCCAATTTAAATTTTCATTCACTCAAGTCCCTGATTGCTTAGTTTTATGTTTTTAGGTTCATTATAAAAGAAAATCCAAATAGTACAAGTTGAAGAACGAAAAAGTACCAAAAAGTCCCGTTTTATATGTTCTCACTTACTCCATGTTCAATATTATAGAAAATTCAAAAAATACCTTTTGAAGAACGAAAAAGTACCAAAAAGTTCCCTTTTATATGTTATTACTTAATCCGGGCTGTACATTCCTAAATTCATGTTTCTAGGTTCAATATTATAAAAAATTCAAAAAGTACCAGTCGAAGAACGAAAAATAGAAAACTCAAAAAGTACCTTTTGAAGAACGAAAAAGTACCAAAAAGTCTACTTTTATAGATTCTCAAGTGCTTAATTACATCCCTACAAGAAATGTATGACCGAAACTAACACATACAAAATGATTTTACTAACACACTTACAACATTTTTCTTTAAAAATTGCTAAAAAAAAATAGTTAATGGATAATTCCATCAATAATGACGGTCAAATGACCGGTAAAATGACTGTGATGTACTCAATGTGTGATAAAGGGTTTCATTTGCATATGAAAGAGTGAAACAACTACATTTGACTGTTACTGTGTTTTCGTCGCATAAATTAATTATTTCAGTGAAAGCCAAAGATCAAAAAGCAAAAAATTAAAAAATTTAAGACTAAAATTATTAAAAATAAAGAGATTTATTGTAATTTAAAAACGGTACAGGAAGTGGAGCTGAGAATATACACTTTGGAGTTTAATCTATCTGTGGTAATATGAATACATATTTACTTTTAATTTTTATATTTCAATATTTATATGCATTTCTTTACAGACAATTTATTTCCACAAATTAAAAGGAACATAGGAGGATTTTACATTCTGTGAGGTATGTAAAATGGTGAAGTGATAGTTAATTTATATATATGCTTACTATGTATATTAATAAAATTAAAAATATATATCTTAAAATGTTAATAAATTGTGTTTTATTATAAATTGGCATAGCCGTCAGATTTGACGGATAAATTCATCAAGTGTGATTGGTCAACTGTGATGGATATATCCATAAAGAATGATTAGTCAATCGTGACTAACATTTCCATCATCCTTGATTGGTAAAAAGCAAAGGAGTGAGCAGCTCAAATATATGTTTTAAAATCGGTAGAATTCATAAGTGAAAGGGAGATGCAAGATCACATGTACACAAAAGTTTCCATCAAATTTTTCATATTGCCCTTAAGAACTTGATAGAAACTTTGTTCTACGCAGTGATCGATATTTCCTTCACTAGTGTCAGTCAAATGACCGGTCAAATGACTGTCACTGTTCTTGTAGGGATGTTTCTAAGTTCTAAGTCAAAAAAGTACCAGTTGCAACATCGTATTGGGAGCCCGTTATTATGTATTCATATGTATAAGTTAATAAACCAAAAACAATGTTTTATAAAAAAGTACCAAAAATGGGTACAATTTTCACCCCTTAAACGTCCGAATATCCAAAAAGTACTAAATTTATATTTTTATTTGTTCGTCAAGTTATGAAGGATTCAAAATTATTTTTTGAATGTTCTCTGGTTTAAAAGATACATGGGGTGCAAAAGAAGTACCAAATTACAGTTTCTACCCATTAATTCCCCAAAGGGGCCGAATTTGAAAAAAGTACCAGATCTATTATATTTTGTGTTAAAAAATTAATATAGGTTTTAACAATCTGGCCAACTTGTGATAACCTATTATTGTGAATGAACCCTAAATTAATCAATTCGCCTTGAAGAAGAACAAGCATTTGCACTTTATTTTTTTGTATGAAAAAATTGTTTTTGACCGCAGTCACAAAATAAATGAGTTATTTTTTGTAAATAATTTCCTACTAAAACTATGAATTTTACAAATTCTGTTAATGTTTCGGTAGAAACAACCTGTGAAAGTAAAATACAAGAAATTGGTTATGATGGCACTGAAATTTATGAACCGTAAGTGAAAAAACAAGCTACAAAAGCAACAGTTTTCAATTTACAAAAAAAAAAAATGGCTATTTTTCATATCACAGACCACCGACACTCTCGGAAACCCTTAAAAAATGTGCAGCTAAAATAGATTTTAGCAAAACTTCTTTGGAAGAACTGAAAAAAGAAGAAAAAGCACAAGCGGATGAAGCCGACAAAGATGCCCAATTTCAGCCCAGCTTATGGCCTTGGGATTCAGTGCGCAACAAACTAAATGATGCCTTAACAGAAGTATGTGTCCTGGCGGATGTTATATCAATAGCTAAAGATAAACGTTATCTTGTGCTGGATCCTGTGCCAGATACAGAAACAGAAAAGAATAATGCCATTATTCAAGTCTACAGTCGCAAAAAAGCCCTCAACCAGGCCGCCCAAATTTTATTAAGTGGGGCAGAACGTCTCAAGAATACCCATACAGAACAGCGTAATCGTAATGTTTCAGATTTTCACATAGAATTGCTGCGTTTAAGGCAAAATTGGCGTTTGAAAAAGGTATCGAATGCTATTATAGGAGACTTAAGTTATCGCACTGCCGGTTCTAAATTTGGGATGAGTGGCACTTTTGAGGTCACTAAAGCGGAAGATGTAGCCGATGAGGAAGCAGCTGGCACTTCTACTTCCCTGACCACCACAGGCGCCAATAATGGACTACCAAATCCTTCCCCAAAAAATAATTCCGCTTTAAGAGTTATAGTACCAGCAGAACTGCAAGGAGTGGCTTATTTTAAAGTTATTACACAAAAAGATCAGGAGGATTTATGTACCGCTACGGTGAATTTAATGGGTCATGGTCCTAATACAACACAACAAGGTGGTGTCTGGCAAAAGACTATTGAAGATGCACAAAATGTGCTTTTTTGCAAGGAACTATTTAGCCAGCTGGCTAGAGAGGCCATACAACTGCAGGCCCCCATACCTCATGTTGTAATAGGCAATCAAATTCGTGCCACACTTTTACCCGGCATACAGTTAATCATCTCTTTATGTCATTCCACATCAGTGGATAGTAACCAGCCCACGCCCATAAATGATCATGATCACGATCATGTTTTAGAACATTCACTACATCAACTGCTGCGTGAGGTTCATCATAAAAATTCCCACCATCCTTTTCCGCATCCGGCTAGTGGTCCTTTGGGTCCAAGCAAAAAACGTATGCTGGCTGGACCCATGGCATCCGATCGTCAAAGTCTGGTTGAAATGACAAAATATCAAACAATTCTGGAGCAAATAATTGCTCAAGCTCAACATATTTTTATGCGCAAACGTACGCAATATGTTCTCGATACTTTGGCCAGAGATGTTAAAGATCCTCAGATTGTATCACATTGGAATGCCATGACTAGTCCGACTATGTCATGTGTTAAAATTAATATTGTGACCCATGGGTAAGTCTAGAAAAACTAATTTTACAAAACATTAATATTCATTCATCAACATTGTTTAATTTCAGTTACGACACCATCAACCGCACCTCCCTGGTCATCCATGTACGCGAGCGTTCCCTTAAGGCTATTTGTCGTGATGGTCGTGTTATGCATTTGTCTTACGAACCGCAAGAACTGCGCGATTTAATACTCTGTCAAATTAATTCTCATCAAATATCCTGTCTCTTGAATTTGGCTCGCTGTATGGCCTGGCAGGTGTTGTCAAATAGTAATCATTTGGGTATTGGTAAAGTTGAACCACTAGGCAATGCCAGTTCTTGCCTTTTGGCCTCTCCCAATAGTGATCGCATGATAGCGGTACAAATACGCTGCACACAATCACAAATGGATGTTAAAGTTTATATAGCAAAAAGTCCGCGACAGGATTTCTTCCCAAATCCTTTGGTGCCTGAAAAATTTTGGGAAAATTTAGGTGGTCATTTTAAGGAGGTTAGTAATAATTCGTTAGAAATCATAAATTTCTGAAATATTATTAATTTCTTATTAAATTTTTAATTAATATTTTTAATTCTCTTTGTTTTTTCTTTACAGGTGCGTTTCGATAAAATCGAAGGCAAAAGTTTTCTTAATAAAATGGAATTTTTAATGGCTTCGCTCAATAGTAGTTCAGCTTAAGTTAAATTATTATAAATAAAAAATAAAAAATAATATATTTTCTGTTTCGAGTTAATTTTATTCCAAAATAATTACTTTTTTCATTTATGATGCACCCTGTTAAGCTAGTAAAATAAATGAAACTGAATTTTAAAGACTACTTTTAGGCTTTACAAAAAAATTTAAAAGGAAATACTTGCTACCGAAATCTGTTGGCCTGGTATTTTGACAGAATTTGTTAAATTTCACAGTTTATTACAACGAGGGACGGTTTAAAAGTAGTTTTTTTTTAACCAGAACGTTAAAACAGGAATTTTTAGTGTCTATTTTTTATTTATAAAATAATTGTATTAAAAAACTAAAAAAAATATTGCATTTAAATTACAAATAACTATTTACAAAAATTGTTTTTAGAGAATTTACAAAAATATTAGATATGTTTGTTATAATTACATTTGATTTCGATCTCTCACTCATACAATTTAATATCAAATAACAATTATATGTTTCTTGGAAGATATTCTACATTTGTTTTGTGATTTTGATATAGTTGGTTGATTTTGATATAGGTGGGTATATAGTTCTAGGACATTTGTGAAGTATCAAAGACTTATCTAGATTTAGCTTGTTGTAATATGTCTACTTGTGTTTTATAAAAAAATGTTTGCTTGATATTCTATTACATAAACTATAGTTTAGAATCTCTATATAGTTTACTGATTACTATATAAACTAGTCTATTGAATACTCTATGGTTTTCTCTATAGACCAGTCTATTGACTACTCTATGGACTTCTCTATAGACCAGTCTATTGACTACTCTATACAATAGTTTATTGACAGCTCTTTAAACTAGTCTATTGACTACTCTTTAAACTAGTCTATTGACTACTCCATAGAATAGTCTATAGAGTAGTTAATAGACTAGTCTTTAAACAACTATATTGTCTATTCTATAGACTAGTTTACGGACTACTCTAAAGAATAGTCTAATACTCTATAGACCAGTCTATTGACTACTCTATAGACTAGCCTATTGACTACTCTATAGACTAGTCTATTCACTACTCAATGAACTAGTTTATTAACTACTCTATAAACTAGTTTATTGATTACTTTATAAACTAGTCTATTGACTACTCTATAGCCAACTACATTGTCTACTCTAAAGACTAGTTTTCGGACTACTCTATAGATTAGTCTACGGACTATTCTATAGAAAAGTCTACGGACTACCCTATAGAAGAGTCTAGGAACTACTCAATAGAATAGTCTACTCAATAGAATAATCTTCTACTCTATAGAATAGTCTACAACTCTATAGACTAGTCTTTTGACTACTCTATTGGACTAGTTCACAAGTCTATTGACTACTCTATAGTTTAGTCTAGTTTAGTCTACTGCATAGTCTATTACCAAGTCTGCTTTTTAGTCGATTGCCAAGCCTATTAACTGGTCCATTCTAGCCTACAGTCTAGTTTGTTTACTAGTCTACGCTATTATGTAGTCTAGACAAATCACAAGTTACAAATCATTTCATTTTATGCTAGGTATGCATAATATTTTAACTGAACCATTAACCCAATATATCACAAACTCTTAAAAAGATGTTTGTTTTAACAGTTTCTCTTTTAACTATTCCACATCAAATCTTGAGTAGCCATTAAAACGAACCGATGTAGATTTGTGTGGTAAAAAGCGTAAACTATTAGAGGCCAAAGAACCCGAGGCAGCAGATGAGGGTACTACAGGCGGTTTAGGTATGGTAAAAGTATCTTCCAGGCTAATCGTATTAGCGCGATTTGTGCTCTAGATAAACAAAGAATTATATTACAAATTAAAGAATAAAATCCATAAAAAAATTAACCGAAAACTAACCCATCTTTCTAAATCACAAAATGTCATATTATAGGAGGAATTTATTACAGATGCTCGCGAGGTGTTATGACTACACGTAGAATTAGCAGTATGGGGTGTTGGTGTTGTTGTGTTAGCGGTAGTTGTGGTTCTTAAATGTAAACCTCGATTGGTGGAGAAGAGTATGGGTGTATTACGTTTCAAATGCGGCAGCATATTATCATTTTCTGGTGGCGACTCTTCCTCCTCAATGGTTGTTTCACTTAAATGAAAACTATGTCTAGTGTGATGTTTCATGCTGGTTGTTTTATTTAAACTTGAATTTAAAATAATTTCATCGCTGTTCATTGTTGAGATACATATTAGTTTTACAAAACCTTAAAGATTTTTTGACATTTTAATAGAAAATTGTTACTGTACACTTCAGTTATTTTCCAATATTGATTTTTCTAGTTTTCTTTTAATAACTTTACACTTTTTTAAACACAAAACAGTTTGCAAATAAAATAAATTTTGTTATTTTTTTAAATTTATATTATTTTTTATTTATTACTATTTTTTTGTTAAAATTATTTAACTTTTTTGCTTTTGTAGTTAAAATTTTGTGTAGTTTTCTTCTGCTCTCTTTTAATTGGTTTATTTTTAATTCTTGTTGTTAGTAGAGTACCGCTATTTTTGTTCATTATTTTTGTTTTGAGTTGTGTGTGTGTGTCTTAAGGGTGGTTTTGTTGTTTGTCCTTGTTTCTCATTAATCAAATTTGACCAAAATAGCAACAACGAAATTAACTGTAAAAAAATATCGTTATATTGACATTCATTCAATCACTGCCAACCACATAACAAATGTTATAACTTCAATTTTAGGGTCACTCACAACATAAGCAAGGAATGTAAATAAATTTATGTTATTTTTTAGCTTTAATGTGTAGGAGCAGGATGTTTATGAGTCATTTGTATTAAAGATTTTCAATGTGGTTTTTTTAAAGAAAAAGTTTATTTTAAATATTTCTCACAGCATTTTTCTATCAAAAATCGATTTTTCGCAAAAAATTAAAATTTTGTCCAAAGAACTAGTCCATAGAATAGTCTATCGATATGTCTATATAATAATCCAGAGATTTATCTATAGACTATTCAGTAAACTAGTCTGTAGAGCTGGTAATAAACTAGTTCATATAATAGACAGTAGGCTAGTCCATAGAATAGTCAAACGACTTTTCAATAGACTTGTCAATAGAATAGTCAATCGACTAGTTCATAGAATAGTCAATCGACTAGTCTATAGAATAGTCAATCGACTAGTCCATAGAATAGTCAAGCGATTAGTCCATAGAATAGTCAATCGATTAGTCCATAGAATAATAAATCGACTAGACTATAGAATAGTCAATCGACTAGACTATAGAATAGTCAAACGACTTGTCAATAGACTAATCAAGAGACTGGTTTATGTATATACTAGTCCATGGAATGGTCTATCGACTAGTTCATAGAATAGTCAATCGACTAGTCCATAGAATAGTCAATCGATTAGTCCATAGAATAGTCAAACGACTTGTCAATAGACTAGTCAATCGACTATAGACTAGTCAATAGATTAGTCCATAGAATAGAAAATCGACTAGTCTATAGAATAGTCAATAAACTAGTCCATCGATTTGTTCAAACGACTTGTCAATAGACTAATCAAGAGACTAGTTTATATACAAGTCCATGGAATAGTCAATCGACTTGTCAATAGACTAGAATATTCAATCGACTAGTCCATATAATGAACAATCGACTAGTCTAAAGAATAGTCAATAGATAAAGCCATAGACTAGTCATTAAACTCGTCCATCGACCAGTCAATAAACTAGTTCATAAACTGGTAATTTTCGCTGCTGACCAAGTTGATTATCTAAGACGACATTTTTGCTAACCTTTTACTTCCTCCTTCCACTTTTTTGTGTAAATAAAACACCATTTCGTTTTTTTTTTCTTTACTTTTTACAAATATTGTTGTTGTTTTAAAACTTTATTCATTTTTTTTTATGTTTTTATTTATTTTTGTATGACCATTCATTCAATCTTTCACTTATTTATTCATCATCATCGTCATCATTATCAATGTTGTTTAACATCATTATCATTGTATTTTGTTGTTGTTGTTGTTGTTGTGCTAGCTGAATATTTATATGTTTGTATGTATAAATGTGTATGTTGTATGTATGAACTCTGTATGTTTGCATGAAAAATCATAATAATGACATTAACTTCATTATCAACATCATTATGAGAGGCTGCTGTCAATTCAGTTTTTTTTTTGTTTACATGTAGATTTTATGTTTGTTTTTTCTTATTGTGTGTGAGTGTGTGGTTTGTTGTTTTTTTCGGGTGTAATGTTGTTTTCATGTGTGTGTAATGTTTAAAGTTTTTTTTTTGTTTAATTTTATTTATTTTTCCTTTTTTTATTATTTTAATTGTATAATTAACACTAAAATACTTATTTAAACATTTTTTTATATTTAAATTATTAATTATAATTAATTTTTTATGTTTTTTTTTTTAATTTTATTTATATTTTTTACTTATTTATTATTTAAGTTTGTTTTTTCCGTTTTTTGCTTTTAATTTTTTTGGGGTTGTGGTTTTTCTTTTCAAAAAATTCTTTTGCAATTTTTTTTTAAATTTTCTGTTTTATTTATATTGTTTATTTTTGTTTTATATGTATATATTATTTTATAAATAATAATTTACTTTTAGCAAAATTCCCATTACTTTTTGTTTTTATTTCAATAATTATAATTATTATTTTTTAATATAAGGTATTGTATATATAGAAATTGTTATTATTTATTATTAGTATGTATAATATATATTTTAAATAATATTTGTATATATAATATATATATTTTTTTGATTTAATATGAAAAGTATATTGTAATATGTTTATATGAAAAGAAAATTAATATTTGAATTAAAAGAAACATTTATAAAATTATTTAGACTTTGCTTTGCTAAAATACAAACTAATAAAACAGTTTATTTTATTTTAAAAATCTTATACAATTTTTTTTTTTATTTTTATAACTTTTTTTAAAGTTTTTATTTTAATATTTTTTTAAAAAAATATTAATATTAAAATATAGTTTTCATTTATAAATACAAAAAACATAAAATTATAAGTAAATAATGTTAGTTTTGTTTAGTTATGTATATTTTTTATATATAATTTATATTTTTTATGTATTATTTTATTTAAAAACATATTGTATAAATAATTAAACTTTTTTGTACAATTATAATAATAGATTAACTTATTGATATTTCTTTTTTTTTATTATTTTTATATGTAATTGATGATTTGTAATAATTAAATTTGGTTAAACAAAAAAGTTTTTTGAAATTGAATAAAAACAATTTCTAAATTTTAAATAAAATACATACAATTTTAGGTCTGGTTTTTCTGTTTTATTTATTTGTATTAAATTCATTACAGATAAAAGCTTGTGGCCTCAAAGATTCTTAAATACATTAGGTTTTTAATATTTCGTATCCTAAAGTGAAGAAATTTTAAGCTCAGATTATGTACATTGATCTCTGGGTTTTGATTTCTTTAAAATTTTGTTGTCTAAGGTTTAAACAAAGAATATACACAAGATTATCTCTATCAGTAAAACCTGCCCTTAGTTAAATAACAAATTTCATCAATTACATATTAAAATGTTATTTTTTTTTTTTAATTTTCTAAAAAACTCTACTAAAACAGGGGGTTTTCTAAAGTATAAGTATATATTTATGAGTTAAAAATATATGTATATTTTTAAACTACTTTCAATATATTGTGTAGGGGCGAGGGGTAGAGAGAGAGAGAGAGAGGACAAATCGATTTTCTTTTTGGTGGAGTATAGGATACAATAATTTGAAATTAAATGTACTATTGGAGCTCTTTACAATAAAATAATTATTAATTGCCTCGAATAATGAATTTTTCCTAGAAAATTTTAAAATTCGATATTTTTGTATAAAATTGGAATAGCAGACTAATCTATTGGTTTAGGAGACAGTTCAACAGTTTTAACATAAAGTTAAAATGCCAATTAATATGCAAATTAGTTTATTTAGAGCGGGTTTTGAGTTAAAAATTAAACGCTTATTAATTTTTTAATTAGTTAATTTTATAATAATTTTAATTTAATGTTAATAGTTTTTTTTTGAATACTAGTTTAAACTTTGCAATATTAACATTCACAACAACATAAAATGTCATTATTTGCTAACAAAAACTATGAATGTTTACTAAAAAAAAGAAGAAGCAGCTGTAAATGTAAACAACTTAAGAAAAATTAAAACAAATTATAATTTAAAGTCTAAAATTTAAATTAAACAAAAAATTAACTCCTTTTTATTAAAATTAACATTTTTATAAAAATATGTAGTTTTGATTTCGCTTTAGATGCTCACACCTTGCCATTTCTTGGCCAAGTTTAACCAAACTTAACTAATCGAGTACCTGGCTTCAGAATTTCTTTATTACATCAGGTTTTTGAGATATAGTGTCATAAGAACAGAAAAACCCCTGGTTTTTCGGGCATATTTGATGCCTTATAACTGCGGGAAGCAGTTATAAGGCAGTTATAAAGCCGAAATGGAAATCTGACCTCAGAATTTCTTTATTACAGCAGGTTTTTGAGATATAGAGTCGTAGATACTAAAAAAACCCAGCGTTTTTGTCCATATTTGATGCCTTATAAGAGCGGGAAGGCATCTAGGTTTGTAAAATCTGTTATGTCAACTAAAAGTGCACCTTAAGTTAAAGCTTGAAACCATTTTTAATACCAAAAAACGGCAAAAATTTCATCGGACTATAGAAAGATTTGTCATAAAGTAAATACGAAATGAATTTAAAAAGTTAGTTTTTGTGATTTTAGGGTTGTTCCAAGCCCTAGGTAAAGTTATCTCGTTGAAGAATGAAGTTATGATAGAGGTCAAATCCGTATGTTTAAGTCGGCAGACAGGACATAACGGATTTTTATTAATAAAGGTGTCTTCGCACTGTTATAACGACTCAAATATAGCCAAAAGTGGAGATTTTTCAGCGCATAATATCTCAAAGTATATAATGTGATAGAGAAATTTTGAGGATAGATTTGAATTTAACGATGCTCAATCCTTTAGAAAAGTAGGATATTTTGGTCTTTGCCATAAAAATTTGTTGGCTTGTGTCATTAACCAGAAAACTGTCTCTTAAGGCGGGGTTTTTCTGCTCAATATTCTCTGTTTAAACTAAGCTTAAACTAACAATTAAGTTTTTCTGTTATTATTTATTTTGTTAATAATATAGTTTTCTCTTTTTTTTTGTATCGATTAAAATTTCTCATAATTTTTCAATTCTTACAGTTGTCTTCTTCTTTTTAAAACAAAACATTCATTGTTTTGATAGTAAATAATGACATTTTCATTTATAGTGTATGGCAATACTGCAAAATTAAAAAAAGAAAACAACATAAACTACACAATAGATTAAAATTTCTGCTTAAATTAACTAAATTAATTAATTACTGTTTAATATACAACTCAAACACCAGCCCTAATTTTATTTTTAGTTTTAACTAATCTTAATATTAATTGTTTTTTTTTTTAAGTTAAAAACTTTTCTAAAGACTTTTTATCAAAGTAATTTTCTTTTAATTTAAAAATTTAAAAAAGTGTTTTATATTATAACTTAATAATCTAAACGAACACCCCTAAATTATATAGTTATTATTTATATAAAACAAAACAAACAAACACCAATCACATTTTGAAAACTGTACAATATTTTCAATATTACAATATTTTTTTCTGGTTTCTTAACAGAGTTTAAAAACTAAATAAATAAATATAAAAAAATAATAATTATAAAGATATTTAATATCAAGGGAAAAGAAAATAAAATTAAATAAAACTGCCTAAACTCTGTTAAAATTAATTTAAAATATATTTTATATTATGTATATTACAAAAATGTTTTGCGATTTCTTTTTTCACTATATAAATCTTATATTTTATATGAAAGCCAAGAAAGGGATTTTTTTTAAATTTATATATAAATGTTTTTTTTTTTTTTTTGTTTTAAGTTGTTCTTTTAAATTTATTAATAAGTACCTAGATATTAAGAAATGTTTAATTTTTGTTTTTTTTTACAAAATTTAGTGTGTTAGTTTTGTTATTTATGAAAGTTTGAGAGTTTTAAATTTAGTTTTTTTATAATACAATTTTCTTAAGGGTTTTCTTTATTAATTTCTTTCTGCTGCAGAAACATTAATTTTATATTTATCATGTTTTAAGGAAACTGTACACAATTTTGTTTAATACTCTTTTTTTATAACTTTTGGGTTGTTTTTTTTTAGATTTTTTTGTTTAGAAATGGTCCTTTTTTATTGTTTTATAATTTTAAATTAAAAGTTTTCGGTTTCAAAAACAAGGACTAAGTTTTAAACAACCTTTTATTTTACCATGCCACCCTAACGAAAAATATCACCTTAGCTACTTTGAAATATATTATTTTAAATCATCTACTCTGGTTATAAATTAAACCTTAATTCTTCCTTAATTCATTAAATTTTGAAAAAAAAAAAATTAAAAATACAAACAGAAAAATACAACCAGAAACCAAAGTATACTTTTCTGAAGGATTGAGCATCTCTAAATCCGAATCTGTCCTCAGAATTTCTCTATTACATCATCTATTTAGAGTTATGGTGCCCTAAAAACTGAACTATTTGAGTCGTTATAACAGCACGAAGATATCTTTATTGATAAAATCTGTTATATCAGCTGAAAGTCCTGTTTGTCAATCTAGAAATAAAGGTTTAAACTCTTTAATATATTTATCCTTCTTCGAGATATCTTAACCTAGCACTTGGAACAACAATAAAATGACAAAAACTACATTTTTAACTCCATTTTGCCTTTATTTTACGACATTCTTATATGCTTGTCATAATTTTTTCCCATCAAATCATTATTGAATTGTTTGAAAATCTCTTGTATTTCGGGAGATATCGTCCGATGAAGTTAAAGTTTGAATTAAAACTTGTTTCATGCTTTATGTTAAAATATCTTGAAGGAGCATGAAGATATAACAGAAGTTAAGCTTGTTATTTTAAAGTCAACAGATTGGACTTTCAGATGACATAACAGATTTTATAAATGAAAGCGTCTTGCCGCTGTTATAAGGCCTTATATCTGGCCAGATTACTGTTACTACGTTATTTCAAAAACCTGATGTGATGAAGAAATTCGAATGACCAGATTCAGCACTCCTCAATCTATTAAAAATGTAAACTTTGGTCTCTCGATGTCGACTTTTTTCATAATTTTTGCTAGTTTAAACATTGCCAAGCTGATTCCTTAGGAACAATGTGATCTCTTTTTAACATATGATTTTAAAACTAAAATGAACAATCACAGATCCGATTATTTCCATTCAATAAGCTTTGTCACCTGCTTACGGCATCAATATGATAGCAAAAATAATGTATATCTCTAGTTTCCGACAGTCAGTTAGGCATGTTTTAAAGCTGTCAAGATCAAAATGTCTTCCCAATCGTAATTACTCTCTATGCTAACTAAAGCAATACTTTATGAAATTATCTTTTCAAAAATAAGGAAATGCCATTATCCACAAATACCAAAATGATACCCCAAGCTTGGATAAAATGCTGACACAACTGGATGCTTATATTCCCTTGTTTCCAGATGATGGAAGATGAAAATATCATACCAATCGTAATCACACTCTATGCTAACTAAAGCACTTTGTGGAAGTATAACGGATTCCAAAACATATGAATATATGGGGAAATGAATATCCCATAATAATGCCTAGCCCTTCCACAAAATGGTGACACAAAAGGATTCTCACATTTCGGAAAAGAATCTTTAATCAATGCATACTATATGCTATATGCATACTTACTGGAACTTATGTCAGAACGTATGAATCAACGACGTAACAAGAGAAGCTGCTTGCTTTTGAAGTTTTTAACTCAGAGCTGGTAAGTGAACTTGAGGGCGGGTATTTTTTTGACTTAAAGACCAAACGCCAATTAATAATCAGTTTAATTAAACAAAAATTAATCTAATATTCCATATTTTTGAGCACAACTTTTTATAGTATTGCCATACAAAACAATAGAAAATGCCAATATTTGCTATCATGCTACAATGAATGTTTTATACAAGAAGAAGACAGTTGTGAGTGTAATATGAAAACAAACAGAAAAATAATAATTTGTTAATATAAAGTATACAAAATGTATGTAAATCAAGAAATAACGACTTTTTAAGGTTTATTTTTTTTAATCTATTTTCGCATCAGCTGTTCACATTTTACTACTACTGGAACAAGTTTAATCTTTCTTAATTGGCTGCTTTAACTAATTTTGTTTACTAGTTAGTAGTTCCTACAATTGGAATTTTGATGTAACACGACCCGAAACATGCTCGGTCAAAAAATTTGTAAAACTCATCGACAGCTGTAACAACAAAACGTTTTTTTTTCACAAGGAAATAACTATCGGCCACAGTCCGTCAAACTGCTACAATAACAGTCATTAACCTGGAAACTGGCTCTAATTGTGGTGAACTTCAAAATTGTAAAATGTTTAAAATTACTATTTTATTTTTCTAAAATGTTTTCCATTTAAAAATTTACTTGTGATATTTCTTCTTTCAACTGCCTCTGCCATAAAAATTAACTATAATTTCTGTCGACTCCTTTCGTCATATATTTCTCTTAGTCCCTGTTTAGTTGTATTGGTGGCCTATCGTTATGTGAATGTTTTTGAAAAATTTTAAGTTTTTGTTTCGAATCGTATCTATGAATATAGTATAACTGATAGTATATTCTAATATGTATATTTTACTCTATTTATCTATATAAATGGATGTAATGGTTTTGGTTTCTTTTTTGTAATATTTTTGAAATAATTTATTTATTTTTTTTTGTGTTTTTTCTTTATGTTTTATAAAACTTTATATATATAATTTTTAGGCTTAATTTTTATATAATATAATAATTAATAATTGTTGTGGTTTATTTTTTTCTGCTTTTGTTTTGTTTTTTTTTTTACTTGTGTTGTTTTCTTAAAGTTTTTCTTTCTCATCATCAAAAAAAAAAAAATAATAATAATAATTAATTTACAAAATAAAATAATAATTAAAAATTAAAATTAAAAAAAAAAATTATTTAATTTTTTCTGTTTAATGCCATTTACCAGTAATAAATTTTTTTGTTTCTATTCTTTGCTGCTTAAGTTAAAAATGGTTGTTTTACTTCTTCAACTGTTTCCAATGAATTTTGAGAGAAGAGATTTCAGTAACATTCATCATCATTATCATCATTGTGATCTTTATCATCTTAGGGTTTCTCTTGGAGATTGTTTTAGAGTGTAATGGAGTGGAGTGGATTGGATAGTAGAAAGTAGGGTTGTAGTAGTTTTAGATTAAAGAGAAGAGGAATCATACATTATTTTTGTTTATACGTTTCTTAAGTATCTAAGAATTTTTCTTGTTGTTTGGAGGCGGCAGCTGCTGTGGCTGCTGCCATAGATGACCATAAATGCTGGAGCATGGCCGTGGTAAGAGTTGAAGCCGCTGACGCTGATGTTGCATGTGTGGGATCTTTAATTGTAGTATTCATCATGCTAACGGCTTGTAAAGCTGCTGCTGCGGCAGCGGCGGCTGCTGCAGTCGTTTCGTCATCATTATCATCATCATTTGTAACACCACTTGTACAGGTGTTTGTGTTTTGTTGCTGTTGATAACTGCTGTACGAAGGGCAGGAGCTGTTTGTAGATGTCGAGGAGGAGGTGACGGAGGAGTTACTATGTGGTTGCTGCTGCTGCAATTGTTGTGGCGTTTGTGTTGTAGGATGTGGTGTTGGGATTGGTGGTGGTATATTTTGTCCGGGCGGTTATTGCATAAAATAGTCAGGATGTTCTGAATCTTTTTCAAATCTTTTCGCTTCTTCGTGCATACTTTCTTTGATTTTGAGTATAGCCGCCGATTCCGTTTGATCATTCTCTCCTGGTCCCCCAAAGCCGCCCAGATTGTAATCACCCATGCCACTGCCCGAATCTTCGCGGGGCGTACCGGGTCCTCCGTTGGCTGGTGAGTTTTTCATACCATCAAGACCGGTGCCATCGCCGGCACCACCATTAAGTACAGGGCCCATTGAATTAGGACCGCCACCCATGGGACCCATGCCGCCGGGTCCGCCACCGCCGCCATCCGGTCCACCGCCCATGGGGAATTCTGGTTTCATTAGCGAGTACATGTTGTCGCCAGGACCACCAGGGCCCGCTTGTGTATTATCTTGCGGCGAGGGCATGATGGGCGTGCCGGGTCCTGGCGGACCATTCGAACCTGGGCCGGGACCGTAGTTGCCAGGCGATGAAGATGAATACGCATTCATAGGTGCTGTTGCATTAGGCTGCCATTGCGGTGGTCTGCCACCGGCGCCCATACCCATGGGCGGCATGCCACCCGGTCCGGGTGCTGGACCCCTCATACCACCTGGTCCGCCATAGCCCATGGGACCCATGCCACCTGGTCCTCTGGGCGGATTCATGCGAGGATTCATGGGACCCATGCCACCCGGCCTCGTGGGATCCATACTGTTCGGCATCATGGGTTGTCCGGGCGGACCATTAAATTCATTACCCATACCCTGCATACGCACACCGGGTCGCGGACCACCGGGATAGCGTGGTCCACCCATAAATGGTGGCTGACCCGGCATCATTTGTGATGGTGGGGGCTGCGGACTTGACGCATGTGTTGGTGGAGAAGGTCTCATCGTTGAACTGGGGAAGAAATTCGCTCCCATTGGACCGCCCGGTCCCATGGGACCGTCGCCACCGGGTGGCATCTGTCCGAGTGGACTGGGCGCTGGACCACCAGCACTGTGAGGACCTCCGGGGCCAATTCCGTTTACGCCATAGCCTGAACTAACAAAACCATAATCGTGGAAGGCCTTGGCCTCTGATGAGTGATCGCACTGATCGCGTCTTTCGGGAGCAGCACAGTATAGGTCCCAGAAGACACACCACCATGTGTGTAGGAAACCTGGTGGTTCGCCCAATGTTATGTTTTTCTCCCATCTTATTTCGGAGAGGAAAGTTTGTGCAGCTTTTTGGGCTCCCACATGCAGCAGGTATTCGTACACGTATAGAGCTAATTTTTCACGGGCCTGAGCATCTGAAGGCACCGACGACGTTTTCGATTTGCCATACATTTTATTATATTTGGTTTGCAACGAAAATGTGTGATGTCAATTTGTGGGTTTATTTATCTTGGTTGGTTTGTTGGTTGATTGGTTGGTGTGTGAGTTTATTTACTAAAGTTTGTGGTTGTTTTTTTTTTTAATATTTAAAAGGAGCTGTTGGTTGTTTGCTTCAACTACTCCTTTTTATGTTTGTTGTTTTTTCCTTTCCAGCTGATGTAGCTGGTGTTCTTGTTGTTGTGTTTTGAAGATTTCTTTAAAATTATTTATTATTAATTGGCGCTCACTCTTTTTTGTCTTCTTTTTCAACTCCAGTAAGTAGTTTTTAGTTTAGGTTTTCTTCTTTCTTTCGTTACGTTTTGTGTTGGTTTTTATTTTCTTTTCTATATAGTTTTTTTCTTATTTTTTTTAAATACTTTCAATAAATGTAGAGAAGATAGATAATCTTGCTGTGGCCGCTAATTCTTTTTGCTGGCGTTGAGCTGCTCCACCGTCATTCATACACACACACGCAGGTAGCAGGCACACGTTAGTGTTTTTGTGGGGGGATGTTTGGATGGATAAGAGAGTATCGTCTGCTCACGCAGCCGTTCTCCTAGTTTCTATAACATCCAGCATTTTTAGGAAATTTTTATTAACTTTTTGAACAAAAATTTTTGTAATTTTTTTTATACAATTCCCCAACAATTTGCTTTAATTATAAGTTTAAATTCAATACTTTGTTGTTTCTTTTCTTATGGTTAACATTTATCGTGTGTATACTCTTTAAAATTATATTTTCGTTTTCTTTTTATTTAATTTTTTTGTTAAAATTTGCGTACCATCAAAAAATTTACTTTTGCTTCATTTTTTTTTACAATAAAAATGATTTTATATTTCATTATACGTTCGTTTCGTTTCTTTTTTTTTCCTTCACTCTCTTTGTGTATCTCTTTCTCGGTCTCTGCCGTTCAGTTACTTTTTCTTTTTTGTGTGAATTTTCGTTCAGAAATACAAGAAAAAACAACAAATTTAGTTCATATTTGTCTTCTTGTATCTGCTGCTGCTGCTTCTTCGTTTTACCGTTTCTTTTGCTTGTGTATTTTGTATAATATTGTTGTTGTTTTTTATTACTACTTTTGTTGTTGCTGTGGTTGCTGCTGCTGCTTGTTCTTCTTCGTATTCGCTACTTTTTTGTTGAACAACCACCTCGTATGTTATTTTTTGTTGTATGTGTGTTATTTTTTTTCTGCTTTATGTTTTTGTTGTTATTTCTATGGTGTTGATTTGCTCACTCTTTCACTCACACCAATTTCCCCCTTTTTGGTTGTGTGACGTTTGTTTTTTTTTCGCTAATGGTTTTGTTATGTGTGTGCGTGTATTTCGCAAACTGAAAATATAGAAGAAAAAAGAAGGCAAAATTTCAATATGAAAATAAAATTGAAGATGAGAATAATGATACAATGAGAGAATTGCCAAAAATGTACAGTGCGAGCAATGTGGCTAATAAAGCGGTTTTAGATTGAAATGCTAATTAGATTATTCGTAACTACTCCTAAACTAATGATCCGATTGCGACATTTTCGATATCATTATAAAGGTCTTTTTATATTACAATAGACATATTACGCATTTGGTAGATTACATGGACCACAACCAGCAATACTACCAAGTTCATCGTGAAATTTATTATCTAGCTATTTCTCCTAGAAATAATAGAAAAATAGCACATTGTATGCCGAATAGTTCATCCGGATCTTAGCATAGCCTGCATATGTTCGGTAAAGTCGCGTCCTATTTGCTTACAAAGGCCCTAATATAACAATTAAAAACCCTATCAGAATCCTTAGACTACATCTATCCATTTCAATAAGTAATTTGGTTATTTTTCCATCATGCTTTGGCCATAAGGCTTTTGGTATTCTTCAATCCAATTAGCAACTTCATGACTGGTTTGTTATGTGAAATATATTAGAACTGTACAAGGGAATGTCGAAAGAAGGTTCACTGACTTTGTGGTTTCACACTAACTCAGGTTTATACCAGTATCGTAGAGTGATGAGGAACATATTTTAAAGAACTATAAGAACAGAAGTTTGGGGAGATATATTTGACCTTTGATGGAAAGCGATAGAAAAACGACAAATTAGTTCTATTATTTAAATATAATTTGTATTTAAACTGGACTTATGGACCTTATGGTCTCCGAGATAATATGCACATTTTTAAGGCGCATAACCCTTGTAAATCTAAATATGAACCTCCTCGAAAGCATGTCTGATAGAATTATTGGAGATTTAAATCCCAAAGATATCTGGGGTCTTTAGAAAATTGATTTCAACAGACATACAGACAGACGAACATGGCTTAATCGACTCCGTTATCTATAAGGATCCAGAATAGGAAAGATAAACGTATATGTATATAAACTTCTCATGAAGGTGAAGAGTATAATAATGAAAAGTTAAAAATGTCATGCCGTTTCGCTATATAGTATCCATACATTAAATTTTTTTGCACAAAGTTCTATATTTACGAATATCGGACAAACCAGGACTAGTAGTCCTTAATATTAGTACCAGTCAATATCGATGTCAGTACCAACATCGTCGAATACTTAAAGCATCTATTGATGCCTGCAGCAGAGATACAAGCCGATGCGAAATGATCGGCGGCAGCGGCGGCTTATTACAGAAAATATCGGCGGCGGCTAAATTGTCGGCTCAATTTAACTTTTTCTTTAGAAATTGACCTTATATCGTTTATCATATTGAAAAATCTTTGTATAATAATCTGTTACATAGAAACCTGTCTCTATATAAGTTTTTGGACATTTATAGTAGTTTTCACTATTTTAATATTAGCACAATATTGTGTGGCAACTCTTTTCAACTCCGTTCAAATTGGTGAAATTATTTTCTGAAATACATGTGCGATTCCAATCTTTATCACCGGCTACGTTTAAGCCGGCTTAGCTTTTGAGCCGAAAGAAGTCGGCGGCGGCGCGGCTTGCAAAATATTACCGGCGGCCAGCCGCCGCCGATTTGAGCCGTCTCGGCTTGTATCTCTGGCCTGCAGTTAAAACTTGTAGCGAAAGGGTTAAGCGCAAAATGTGGGACTTTTGTTGTTAAATCGCTACAATTTAAAACTTTTCAAGATGTTAGCCTTATTTTATATTACAAATTTAGTGAGAAAATTCAAAGAGAGAGCAAAATAGCAAATTGGAATTTTTTAGGGTTGCCAAGAATTTTGCAAAGTAATTCAAAAGTAATTAGGGCAAGATAAAAATATGCATATCTGTTAGAATTAGAATGTTCACGTAAATTAATATTTTATAAATAATAAAATTTTCTATGAAAAATTCAGTTTTTTATTTGTAATGAAAATTCTTAATAAATATTTTCTGAATTTCATATGAAAAATCTCAATTTAAATTGATCGTTTCTGACTTGAATTAAGAAGTTCTTATTTTCAATTAAAAAAGTGTAGTACTACATCCTGATATTAAGGATTAATAATGGACAAATTTAATAATGTACCTATATACAATTCATTACAGTTGAATGTTTGACAGGTCAGGAAAACAGATTCTATCAAGGATAACTATGAAGTATATACTTTATTTTGTTCGTAAGCGATAGGATATTACCAACTGTTGAATCTTATTTTTACCAGAGAATAATACATGTTAAATCTTTTTGAAATTTACACTAAGACTGCAGCTAACGCTCTACGAGCTTATGATCTTAAGAACCTCTTTTAACCTTAGAGTCAAAATTGTAAGCATGAGCAAACAATTTTAAACCAATATCAAGACCTCTTAATCTTACTCTATTCTAACTTTTGATATAAAGTGTATGCCAATTACCGCTACTCCCACAACGTCTAGGCAAACGTTTTGAAACCAAGTTTAGTTTAACAAAAAGACCAGTTATGGCAAGTTACCTGTTTTAGATACTTTTGCCTCTCTTAGTAAAGATTCAATGATACTATATGAAAGTAATTTCTTCCCAAAATCTACTGGCCTATCATGTGATAAAAAATGGAACTTTTTAGTTCTGTTGATTAAAAAAGTATAACCATGTGATGGTAAGTTTTCTTCAGAGTACAAAAATGGAAAAATAAGCTTCTGTTCTACTCAGGTCCAGGAGTTATATGTAGGTCTCCTAAGTTTTGATTACTAAGTATTGTATTTTATTACAAAAAAAATAATAATTAGCAGTAGAAAAATGAAAAGGCATTAGAAAGTTTCCTTTTATAAACAAAAGTAAAAAAAAGTATCCTTTTATGGCTTCTTATTAAATCTGGGATATACATGCTTAAATTCAGGTTTCTAGGTTCAATATTGAAGAAAACTCAACTGTAGTACCAACAATAGTCCTTGATACCAGAGTTACAAAATATAACAACCCAGTTGGCCAGATCTTTATTGACGACACTTTCATCGATGATGTCTACAGGAAATTTTCAAACTTGCCTTTCAATTTATATTGACGCGATGAGCGACAATTTCTACAAGTTTTTGTTTCATTAAAACTTTTTATTAAGAAAAATAAATCATGATTTAGTTGTGTTTTTAAAGTTGGGAAGAAAAATTGAGTAAAGTGTATTGGTACGATAATTATTATTAATTTAATCAATGACAAGTTGAACCACATTGTTACTTATCTGATCGTCAACGATAATATGCAGGCAATGTCACTCACATTGTCGGATACGAAAAAAGAGGACTGTCCTGCACGCATCACCGATAATGTCTTGAAGCAGGGTTGGCAAAATTGGTACAATTGTACTTTATTGGGTACAATTCGATCTTTAAAAGTACATTGGTACACCGATGACCCATTTTGTACAATTTTAAATATATTCAGTTATTGAAATAATAATTTAAAATTGTACTTTTAACACAAAGTTCAAAGAACTACCGACTTCGGTCAAATTTTTAATAAACTTCAGAAAAGGACATTTTCAATTCTTCTTTATATTCTTTAATATTGTAAAGAATCTTGAAAGAGATTACAACCAGACAAGCAGGAATAACATTTACCAAAGAGAGTAATTTTTATGATTATTTTGTATTCTATCGCTTTTCTATTGAATTGTCTATTAACTACACTAGGGACCACTCTAATGTCTAATCTATAGACTAGTCTATTGTCTAGTTTATAAACTACTCTATTGAGTAAATTGTCTTGTTTATTGACTAATACTTATCTCTTTTAACTTTTTAAAGTACTTCTAGGGACTATTGTATTAATCAGTCTTTGAACTAGTATCAAAACTACTCTATATACTAGTTTATAGACTACCGTCTAGTCTATAGAATAGCCTATTGCCTAGTCAATGGACTAGTACATTGACTAATGGACTTGCTTGAAATGTTTTTTTTTATATTGATATAAATTTGCAAAAATTATAGATATGGTACAATCGGATTCAAAAAAGTACAATTTTTGTACAATTTGAAAATTCCATTTGCCATCCCTGTCTTGAAGACTTGGCCAACATGGAAGTAGTCCTACTCTCACATATAGGAAATTACTCTCTCACATCTACGAGTGCCGTGTGAAATCTACTCTCTTGTGAGAAATTTAATCTTGTCCAAATACTAAAAAGTTTATCATACTTTTTTGACCACTTTGCAGGATCGTATGCGAAATTTCCGTAAACCATAATGGATCTGTAATTTTTTTAAATATTTTTATTGCAATTTTTACACAAAATTTTGTTTAATTTTCTTCAACTAGAAAGATATATTTTTTCTAGTTATTGACATTTCAATTTTTGTCCTGATTATTCTGTAAATATCAGCTGTATGTACCATAGTATTAGTGAAAAAGTAGAATAGTACTGAATTTTCCATGCCTGGTTTTCGCAATTAGTGAGTTTCTAATATTAAAACAAGTAAGAAAGTATAGTCGGGCGTGGCCGACCATATGATACCCTACACCAGTAGGGTATCATATGGTATTGTGGTATTGTATTGAATTGTGCTGAATTTCATCGCGATATTTGTGTTTATAAGTTAATTTGGGACATTCAAGTAATTTTCTGAAGGGGACTTTGTATGGGAGTTAGGGTCAAATGGGGCCCGATCTTTATGAAATTTAGCAGGGTCATCACGACTTCTATAAAACTTAGTTGTGCCGTTTTTTGTCGATATATCTGTATATTTAACATAATTATGAGCTCAGAAGCCCTTTTCGGGGCGTTCTGTTCTATGGGGGCTAGGTGAAATAATGGACCGATTTTAACCATTTTCAATAGGCTTCGTCCTTGGGTCAAATAAAACGTGCGTGCCAAATTTCATCCATCTTGAAAATTGCGACAAGGTTTACATGGACAGCCAGCCAGCCAGACGGACGGACGGACATAGCTTAATCGACTCAGAAAACGATTCTAAGCCGATTGGTATACTTTAAGGTGGGTCTAGGACGAATATTTTTGTATGTTACAAACATCAGCACAAATCAAATATACCCTCCCCACTAAAGTGGTGTAGGGTATAATGAAGTAGTAAATCAATCAGTTAAAAAATATACAAAAAAATTTTAAAAGACAATTTTTTTTTTGCTTTAAGTTGCCACCTGTTAATATTTGTTTATAATTAATATAAATTGTATACAAATAAAAATTCCTACATATGTTACTATGTTGGTACCTGTAAAATGTTCATTAATTACACAGGCCAACAAAATTGAAAAAATAAAAAATAATAAAATCCGAACCCAGAGACTAAAGTATATTTTAATAAAGGACTGAGCAGCGTTGAAACGGAATCTGTAATCAAAATTTCTAGAAAGTTTATTTTAAAGTCGATATAGGTAGGTATTGGATTTTCAGATAACATGCGTAACTAATTTTATAAATAAAAGTGTATTCCACGCGTTTTTGATGGAAACATTTTGAGGCCAGAATTGGATTTAGCGCTGCTCAATGCGAAATGTATACTATGGTCTCTCGGTTAAAAATTTGTTGAACTGTGAAATAAACAAATAATAACAGGTGGCAACTCAAAGGAAAAAAGTAAACGAAACAAAAACACTGTTAAAATAATAATTATTATTGATTTGATGTTATTGTTTACAAACCTTGGTATCTATTTTTAAAAGATAAATACAACAAATGTATTTAAGAAGAAATATTTAGCATTTGTTAAATATTGTAGACCAAATGGTGTCAAAATTTCAGCAACGAAACTCCTTAAGTGGTTTATTTGTTGTTGTTGTTAAACTATAAAAACAATTTTAATTAAAACATTTAATTTTTTTTATCACAAAATTTAAGCAAATATTACCAGTAAAGAGATTGTATAAAAAATCAATTTCTTTTTGTGGTTGTTGTTATTATATTAATTAGATTTGACAGTGGTTTTGTAAAGCTAAAAGGCGCGTTTTGTTTAACGTGAATTGTGCTTTTACTTTTGTTTTTTTTAGTTATAAATAAATTTGTTTAAATAACTTTTAAAATTTTTAGGTTTTTATTAGCCTTTTGTGTTATTTCTTTACTGATTTGTATATTTCAATTCGTTTTTTTTTATTTTTTTCACATTTTTTATATTTTATTTGAGGCTGCTGCTTCTTTTACTTTTTTTATTATTATTATTGTTGTTATTATTATTATGGTAGTTGGTGGTAGTGCTCTTCTTTTTTTCTGTTTCCCTCCCCCTTTAAAAATAAAACTTCTTTTTTTCACTTCTCTTATTTCTAGCTACTTCCACTAAATAATTTTAATGTTTTTTACAGATTTGCCTTCTTTTTTTTACTTCTTTTTTGTGTTTGTTTGCTAATACACTTTTTTCTCTTTTGTTCCAACTCTTGCTCTCTCTCTTTATCACATACACAAACACTAAATGAGCTTTACCCCACTTTACACCGCACGAAAAATTTTTGTTTTAAAAACGTACAACAACAACACTACAAAGTTGATTTCTTCGATTTATTGTTGTTGTTGCAGATTTGCTTATGTGTTTGAATTCGTTTGTTTCTGTTATTTTTTTTGGTAATTTTATTTTTTTGTTAATTTTCCCTATATGCTTCTTTACTACAATTTTATTCTCCTCTTCTCTAACTCGTCCACTTCTACAACTACTACTACGTTGACTATAATAACGAAGAAGACGACAACAACGACGACGAAGACAAATCACATTAATAATTTTTTGCTTCAATATGAAATTTTCATCGATAAATTTTGTACGACGATACAATTGCATTTTTACACATTTCCATTGTAAATTTTCTTTCTTTTTTTCTTATTATTTTACTAACACTTTTTATCTCAATTTCAATTTATTTCTCATTTATTTTATTGAAATTTTTGCAAATTATTTTTTTGTATTTAGTATTTTTTCCAGTAAAATGTTTCTTCTATTCGAGAAAACTTCTTTTATCGGTACTTTTTCGCTACAAGTGCGTCTCGCGTTAAATGGCGTATGGAGGACAACACTCATAAAACTGCAAATACACACACCAACAGACAGCTCTCATAGAAAAAACCCAACAACGACAAAAAAAAGAGATTTGTTTTACCTTTTTTCGTGTTTATTTTGTTTGACAAATTGTAATTTACATACTGAGTGAGTGTTTGACAGTGCTGTTGTCTCTTTTGCACGCACTTTAATATGTATGCAAAGGGTTTGTAGAAAATTTTGTCTACTCTAAACTATAACAGCAAACATTTTGTAATATTTTTTTAATTATATGTTAAAAAAGTTAACAAGCATTGTAAATAATTTTCTAAATTCCAAAATATTTACATTTATATTTATCACTCTTATTTTATACTATTATTTTAGTTAATATTAGTGTTTTTTTAAAGCTTTTCTTTGTTTTATTCCAATTAGGTTTCATGTTTTTGTTGCATCTTTATCTTCCCATATTCGTAATTGCTAAAGGTTGCCAGAGTTTGTTGGAGAATTTGCCCTTACTGGTAGTTAGAGTAAATGAAAATCAATACATAATAACAATACATATATCAATATTATTAAAAGGCCAAAAATATCAAGAAAAATTTAAAACTATGCGGGAAATTTTAGTAATCATTTTTGCTAAATGATATAGGTAATTAAAAGTGTTATCTTTTCTAATTCTTCGAAAACTCGTATTTTAATTATAATTGAATTAGTAATAAAAGTCGGGTTTTGCGAACTGACTATTAAAAATAAGAGTTATATTTCGTATAGTTTTCAAAAATTTCATATTTTGAAAATATCTATCTGTCTGTCTATCTATCTATCCATTTATCTATCTATCTATCTATCTATCTATCTATCTATCTATCTATCTATCTATGTATCTATCTATCTATCTATCTATCTATCTATCTATCTATCTATCTATCTATCTATCTATCTATCTATCTATCTATCTATCTATCTTCTATCTATCTATCTATCTATCTATCTATCTATCTATCTATCTATCTATCTATCTATCTATCTATCTATCTATCTATCTATCTATCTATCTATCTATCTATCTATCTATCTATCTATCTATCTATCTATCTTATCTATCTATCTATCTATCTATCTATCTATCATCTATCTATCTATCTATCTATCTATCTATCTATCTATCTATCTATCTATCTATCTATCTATCTATCTATCTATCTTCTATCTATCTATCTATCTATCTATCTATCTATCTATCTATCTATCTATCTATCTATCTATCTATCTATCTATCTATCTATCTATCTATCTATCTATCTATCTATCTATCTATCTATCTATCTATCTATCTATCTATCTATCTAATCTAATCTATCTATCTATCTATCTATCTATCTATCTATCTATCTATCTATCTATCTATCTATCTATCTATCTATCTATCTATCTATCTATCTACTATCTATCTATCTACTGATAGTTGATTTAAAAACAAAATTGACAGAAAAGAGAGTTTCTGAAAGACCAGTACTAGGCTATATATAGGCGTATACTTATAAATTTTGGTAGAGGGATTAACGTTTACATTAAAGTTATATATACAGAATTTTATTTTGGCACTAGTGTTTATAAGTGAATTATTGACCTTAAAGTCATTTTCTGAAGAGGACTTTGTATGGTGGCTAGGGTCAAATGAAGCCCGGTCATTACGAACATGGTACAAAACTGAGTTGTGTTGATTTTTATAGAGGTATTAAAAACATTTTAACCTGTAGCGTGCGAACAAGGTGTACATTAGAGGGTCCCGAGGGACACCTTTTTAAGAATTTTAAATACATCTCAATTGATGCGTATTAATGTTCTGAACACTAGAAAAATTAAAAATATTTTTTTTTGAAATGAAGCCCGGTCATTACGAACATGGTACAAAACTGAGTTGTGTTGATTTTTATAGAGGTATTAAAAACATTTTAACCTGTAGCGTGCGAACAAGGTGTACATTAGAGGGTCCCGAGGGACGCCTTTTTAAGAATTTTAAATACATCTCAATTGATGCGTATTAATGTTCTGAACACTAGAAAAATTAAAAATATTTTTTTTTGAAAGTGGCATTTGAAAATCTTAATTTCAGTACAATATGTTAAATAAAATATTTCAGCAATATTTTCGAAATGGGTCTTAATAATTCCGTTATAATGTGCTGATTATGGAAAAAACATTTCAAAAATGTTGGTAGAGTAATTTTGGTCCACAAAATTATTATTTGAGAGGAATCCACTAATAATCTTAAAAATTAACGTAATTTTTAGCTTCTGCAGAAAAATATTTAAAAAAGTGCTTTTGATTTTATCTATTTTACATGTTTTAGATTAGTATGGAATTTATATACCCATTATATTGCACTAATAGTCGGTTTGTGGACTAGGAATAGTCTTAACAAATTTTAATTAGTTTTCTAAGCTTAATAATACGGAATTTTTGTGGCTCATTACGAAAAGATTGCAATTTTTTAACATAACTGGGAACTGAGATCCCTTGAAAAAAATTTTTTTTCGTGTTCAGTTCATTAATTCATAAAAAAGTGGTAAGATCCAAAAACGATAATTACTTTCTTGATTATTTTTTATCTAGTTTATAACGTTTTTTAGTTTATTAGGAGATTTCAATTGATAATAAAATGATTAGATATTTTGTGATTCAAAAAAAAAACCTCCAAAAAACCCTCAATTATTTTGAATTTATATATCCACACTTTCTGACATAAAAAAACCATCTGGCTACCTATCAATTAAATTTTCTCATATTCTCCTTTTTATCTAATTTCCCATCACTTGACTAATATATTGATTTCTGTTGTTTGCATTCGTTACGGCAATAAACAGGTTATTGGTTAATGACCCTGTATATTTGTCTCTCTCTATTGCACAACTTTATTAGGAAAATATATATTATTGTTGTTGTCATTTGCTTGTTTAACTCCCGGCATTTTTTTTCTACTTTATTTTTAATTGTTTTCCCATGCACAGCGAGAGATGGAAAATAAATAAGAAATACAAAAAAAGAATTTGCAAATATTGTTCTTTATCTCTCTTTAGTTGTACTTTGTGCTTTAGTACAATTTCTTTCTTGCGAGACAGTGTTGTATTTTGGTAGTGTTTAACTTTTGGGTTTTTTAAAGCTAGCATTAAAGAAAATCTAATAAATAAAAGTGAATCAGAAAGTGTAAAACAAATGATATAGTTGGCAAATTAAAATCTGGTAAGTTTTATGTTTAAGTAAAAGTATTATTTGCAGAAATTTATCAAGAATCTGCTTTATTTTCTTTTTATATACATATATATATAATATTCTCTTTTGTCTGGTTATTGGTCCCTGTAAATTGTTATACCCTACACCACTTTAGTGGGGAGGGTATATTGGATTTGTGCTGATGTTTGTAACATACAAAAATATTCGTCCTAGACCCACTTAAAGTATACCAATCGGCTTAGAATCGTTTTTTGAGTCGATTAAAATCGGTCCATTATTTCACCTAGCCCCCATAGAACAGAACCCCCCGAAAAGGGCTCATAATTATGTTAAATATACAGATATATCGATAAAATACGGCACAACTACCCTGCGAAATTTAATAAAGTTCGGACCACATTTGACCCTAGCTCCCATACAAAGTCCCCTTCAGAAAATTACTTGAATGTCCCAAATTAGCTTATAAACACAAATATCGCGATGAAATTCAGCACAATAAAATATTATGTAAATATAAATATATTCACAAAATTTTATCAGGCTTGGTCCATATTTGCCCCTAGCCCCCATATAAAGCCTCTTTCAGAAAATTAGTTTTTCATCTATAAATTGCTTAAATGTATCGGAACAAGGGAATATTGAAGATAAATGCTTTATTATGAAAAATAAATCACATTTAATATTCATAACTGGTGTAGGGTATTATATGCTCGGCCACGCCCGACTATACTTTCTTACTTGTTTTGTTTATATTTTTCTTGTTTTTGCTAAATTTTTTTTGTTTTGTTTTGTTTTCATTTCTCCGCTGTTGTTAAGAGTTGCCAAGCTAAAGGTTTGTTATTTTTGTTTTCAACTGCCAGTGAAACCGTTATTTTTAAAAGATTTTATGAGAAAATATAGTGTTGTCATTTTCCATTCTTTTACAGCTAATTTTGTTTTTGTTATTTATTGTAGAATAACGGTAACTGTGTGGTTACAGTTAGGGTTCTATAAATCGACTTTCGAATAATCGAACAATCGATTTTTTGTCGAAAAATGTCGAAAAGTCGAAGTCGACTATTTTGTTCCAAAAAAGTCGATAACTCGACTATCGTCTGTGAAAAAAGTCGAAAAGTCGACTTTGTTAATAAAAGACGAAAAAAAGTCGAAAAAGGTCGATAAGTCGAAAAGTCGTAAAAAGTCGAAAAAAGTCGAAAAGTCGGAAAAAGTCGAAAAGTCGGAAAAAGTTGAAAACTCGAAAATTGTAAAAACAAGTCGAAAATTTTAAAAAAGTGGAAAAAAGTCAAAAACTCTAAAATAGTCGGAAAAACTCGAAAAAAGTCAAAAAAATAGTCGGAAAAAAGTCGAAAGAAGTCGAAAATAGTCAAAAAGTCGAAAAAATCGAAAAGTCGGAAAAAGTCGAAAAAAGTCGGAAAAAGTCGAAAAAAGTCGAAAAGTCGAAAAAAGTCGAAAAGTCGAAAAAAGTCGAAAAGTCGACTATTTATAAAATACTTATAGTCGAAAAGTCTAAAAGTCGACTTTTAATTAAATGAAAAAATATCGAAAAATCGACTTTTCATGAAATGCAAAAAGTCGAAAAATCGACTTTTAACTAAATGAAAAAAGTCGAAAAGTCGTTTCAACTATAGAACCCTAGTTACAGTTGAATTAGACAGAGTTGTGTTTTTATAGAGATGCCACATATTTTTTGTTGTACATACTTTATATCTACATATAAGAAAGGCGTTATTTTTAAAATTTCGTTTGGTTTTCTAATAAAATTTAAAGAAAAAAATATTTTTAAAATTATGATATGAATAACATCCGCTATTTGTATAA